ATGTAATCCTGGGGAGAGGGGGGGACATAAAGAGAAGAGGGGGGGGGTCAGCACTGTGACCCCAAACCCTTGGAGCTGGGATGGGACTCGGGCTGGGATGGGACACGGGTGTCCCCCACCGCTTGTCCCCTACCTGGTCCACTTGTCTCTGCTGGAGCCAGTGGTCTGGGGGGGCCGCGGTGGCCCCCTCCTTGCCCAGAGCGTGGCTGAGATGAAAATCGGTGTCGCAGAAGCAGCTGTCTCCATCCACGGTGTGGAGACTCTCCCAGACCACCCGCTCCTCCTGGAGGAAGCCCTGGTCTGTCACCAGCAGGTAAAGGTGGCCCTGGAGAGAGGGGACAGTTGGTCCCAGTGTTGGGGAGGGGTCCACCAGCTGGAAGGAAGCTGGGGAAGGGGCCAGAGCTGCACCTTGTGCTTTATCATGGTGCTGAAGTGGTTGTTGCGGAAGAAGACGCTGAGCTCATCCTCCCGGACGGTGGCCATCAGCTCACACAGCCCGTGGTAGGTCAACTGGGAGGCTGTGGACTCCAGGAACTGCTCCGCCACCAGCCCTGGGGTGAGAGTGGTGTGGGAGCGGGGCCAGGGCGTGGAGCCTCCACCCTGGGGACACCAAGGAGCGTTGGCTGGGTGGTGGGGGGCCGTTACCTTCGCTCACCAGGCTGGAGTTGCTGGCCTGTTTGCAGGTGATGATCTTCTCCACCAGCTGGTTGTAGCTCAGCTTGCCCACAGCTTTCACCACCTCTGGGCTCTGTGGGGAGGGGAAGGGACACAGGGGTGAGTGGGGTCTGTGGGGACCTGTCCCCCCACCCACAGCAGCCCAGGGAAAGGGTTTGAACCTTCCCCAACTAGCTGGACCACCACTCCATCATGGGGATGTCCAAGAAGCTGAGCTGGTAGCTTCCACCGTGGAGAATGACCCATTACAGAAGGGTTTGAGTTGGAAGGGACCTTCAAAGACCATCTAGACCCCCTCTTTGCCATGGGCAGGGACATCTTTGACTAGATCAGGTGGCTCAAAGCCTCACACAACAGTTTGGTTTGGAAGGGATCTTCAAAGATCACCTAGTCCAACCTCCTGCCATTGGCAGGGATATTGTCCACTAGATCAGGTTCAAAGCCCCATCCACAGCATCACAGAAGGATTTGGGTTGGGAAAGAACCTTCAAAGATCATCTAGACCACTCCCCTTGCCATGGGCAGGAACATCTTCCACTAGATCAAGTTGCTCAAAGCCCCGTGGGGTTACCTCACCTGGGGATCCACCAGCCAGCCATGGTAGAGTGGGACGTTGAGGAGGTCAAAGACGATGCACTCGGGTGTGTACTCAAAGTCCGAGACACCCGTGAACCTCACGTTGACATCCAGCCCCGTCGAGAGCTTGGGGAGCACTGTCATGGTGTCATTGATGTTCTGAGGGGGGGACAAACAAGGAGGGCTTACTCAGAAAGTGGGTTGGCACCCCAAGTCTTGCAGCTCAAGGCCACCAGCGCTCCCCGAGACGTGAGAAGGATCAATTTTTGGGCTGGGTGACACACGGCCTCGCTCCTCACCTGCTGGAAGTTGAGCTGAAGCCCCTCCGATGGCTCCCGGGGTTGAGTGGACAAGATGCAATCCCCTGCAAGACAGCGCCGTCAGCCCCCAGTGAGCCGGTTAATCGTGGCACACCGGCATCCCGGGGTGGGACGGGGCGGGACGGGGTCCCCGGGGAGCTCACCCAAATGTGCCATCAGCTCCTCGGCCGTGATCACCTCCTTCTGCGGGGGCAGCTTCACCTGGAAGCACCAAGAGGCTGGAGAGCGGCCCCCAACCCCAGCCCCTCACCATCGGG